GCTGTCCAGGAAACTGTACGTAGCTGGTCAACTAGTTTTGAATTCAGACTAGGCTTGATGAGTTCTGGGGTTTCTAGAGTAAGATTTGATGGTGCCAGGTTTGTTCAGGCGGACATGGAAATTATGCGAGGAATATATAGGTATATAAAAATCATATCAATATAAAAATAGATCCAAAAATAGATCCAAAGATTCACACGGCAGTCAGGGAACTTCCAGACAGGATGCTTTTGAAACAGGTATAATTAGCGCTTTTGTAATTAGTTGTATGCAAGGGATGGGATGCTGATTGACTAAGCTGGTTCAATGCCCCAGCTATTTAGGGGGAGCCACTCAATTTCACGCCCAGGTGTTGTCAATTGCTGGGTTTCAAGTAAGAGCTTTTTGATACGGCTCTTGATAATTGAGATGGGGGAGGAAAGGTCGGAAAATTTAGTAGAGCCAGGGACCATGACATTGTTTTCATTAGGAGTGCATTTGTCGAATATTTTATCAACCAAACTGTTCCATATAGTCGTACCTTTGAAGACAAAATTGTGTTTAGAAATTTCAAGTTTGTGTCGGGGGACCCGCATAGTTTGGCTACATGCTCTGGAACTTGTTTGGAATAAACTTGTCAGAGAGATAGGTTGATGCAGTTTCAAGATTTTAAACAGTTCAGTGGATATATGTTGGGTGTACAGGTTGTGGATTGACATGATTTTCTCGGTATTGAATATTGGCTTAGTGTTTTCCAAAGCAAAGCTCCTTTTTGCGATGTGTTCACTGTATGGTCTTGCACGTGCACATGTTTCATAATACTCTGCCCGGTCAAAGCTTGGTTTGCTTCCAAATAGAAGGCGTACACATCTTTTTTGGATGGAGAACAGTTTAGATAGTCTATAAGGTGTGACACCACCCCAGCTACTGATACAGTAGCTCATATGAGACTTGAATAAGGAGTCATACAGCTTATGGTACTCTGTTTCTGGAATAAACTTCATAATACGTTTAATTATAGCTATACTTGTAGTTAGTTTACTTTTTATGTTATCTAGTTGGGGTTCCCAGGATAGTTCATGGTCTATGATAACACCAAGGAATCTCACTTTATCTACTCGTGTAAGCGTGTTGCCTGATAACGTGAGTGAGTTCTCAGAGCCATATTCACGAGCACGTGCACAGGACGAGTACCGGCCAGGTCTGAATAACATGTATACCGATTTGCTTTGGTTAATGTGCAGCAAGTTAGATTCCATATAGTCATTTACAGATTCAAGTACTTTATTAGCATTCAAATAGGCTTCTTGTTCAGTTTTTCCAGCAACAAATATGTTCGTGTCATCTGCAAACAGTATGAAGTGTCCAAGTTTGCTAGAGTTGGTAATGTCATTAATGTAGAGTAAGAAGAGGAGAGGGCCTAGAACTGATCCCTGTGGTACCCCATATTCAATTTTGCAGTGATCAGAGTGTGTATTTTGGAAATCAACATACTGCTGTCGGTTACACAAATAGCTTTCAATTAGGTCAAGACAGGGCCCTCTTATGCCATAGTGTTCAAGTTTGACAAGTAATTTTCTGTGGTCGATTGTGTCAAACGCTTTGCTTAAGTCAATGAATATGCCAATTACATGATTCTTACTTTCTAGGTTTTTAAGAATGTGGTCAATGGAGTAATTGATGGCATGTGCCGTTGAGTGGTTGGATCTGAATCCAAACTGTTTATCGTATATGACCATATGTGAAGTAAAGAAGTTATATAGTCGGCAGTAAATTACTTTTTCAAATATCTTACCAAAGATAGGTAGAATGGATATAGGCCTGTAGTTATCAAACAGCTGTGGGTCTCCTTTCTTAAATACGGGGGTGACCTTACCTATTTTGAGAATATTTGGAAATAGACCCAGCTTCATGAATGAGTTTAGGAAACCAGCTAGGTGTTTAGAGATTGTAGTGCAACATTTCTTAAGAACAGCTATTGATATGTCACTAGCCTTGTCACCCTGGAAGGTTTTAACAATTTTTTCGATTTCCTCAGAATCACAGGGGTTTAAGAACATACTGTTGGTAACTCTTTTGTTAAAGTAGTTCTTATAATTAAGGGGCCTCTGGCAAGCTGTGTCACGACTTATTGGTTTGGAGGAGCAGAGCTTCGCATTAAGTTTACCTGCAATGGAAGAGAAGAACATGTTAAAGCCATTCGATATGACACGCTTGTCTTTTACTAAACTACCATCTATTTTGAACGAGGCCTTTATTCCAGTTTTTGTTTTTCCCCTCAGTTCATTGGTCAGTGCCCATGTTTGCTTCATATTACCTGAGACTTTTGAGAATTTTCTGCAATAGTACAATTTCTTGGCAGATCTGATAATGTATTTTAACTGTCGACGGAATTTACTATAGGTTAAGTATAGATCAGAGTCTCCAAGAGGGTTGGGTTCCTTAATTGTACTCTTCCACTGCTTGTAAAGATATTCTTTCTTTTTCACTGATGCAATGATCCCTGGTGTGATCCAAGGGTTTGCAATCATATTTCTTTTTGACTTTTTGAACGATTCAGATTCAATTAAAAAGTTTTCTTCGATCAAAAGTTTTATCTTATTTGCAAAAATTTCAAAGTTTTCTACGTTGTAGCACACCTGCCCACAAAAATTTGTTTGAATATCTTCTAAGAACTTGGTCATATTAGATTCACAGTAGTCGTATTTTGGTTTACAAGGGTCAAGTTCTGGTTCTTCAGGCATGCTACATTCGAGAATACAGAAAATTGGAGAGTGATGCGAAACCCTGGTATCCAGTAGTCCAGCTGACACAATATTGTCAGTGGAGTTTGTCAGAATATTGTCAATAAGCGATGGGACACAGCCTGGTTTATGGTGCGTTGCCAGTGATATAAGTGGGATGAAGTTATTTCCATATAAAATGTTTTCAAAGCTGGCAGAGCCTTTATTAAATAGATTAAAGTTGAAATCTCCAAGCAGGATAACGTTCCTATCAGGAACCTGATTAAGAAGGCTCTCAAATTCGTGTAGGGCATCTTTGTCAGATCCACCAGGTGGTCTGTATAGGACGCCAACTGTTTGGGGCCTGCCAACATTTGTGATGGAGACAAACACTGATTCAAGGTTAGGGGTACACATACATAGTTTGTCAATACGGGTGTAAGTAAGTGACTCATTGATGTAAATTCCCACTCCACTACCTTTAGATTTGTCACGTAATTTATTGGTGTATTCAGAGAGATAACTGGGTATCCTATACAGGTCTTTGAGGTTTGCATCAATATTTGTCTCAGCCAAGCCAATAAACGAGAGTGGATGACTGTACTGTGAGATTTCTGTGACAAATGTATCAAAATTTGCAGCATTTCCATCAATATTGTTAAAAATACCAGTAAGGTTCTGCCCATTTCTATGATACAGCTTTATGAGGTTCTTAAAGCTTTTATGATCATAATTTTTACAGCTTTTATGGATTTCATTGATTTCAGAAACATCTTCAATTTCATCAAGGTGGACTGGGTCATGTTTGTCACGTATAAGTGCAGAAGCAAATGGGCAGTACCGTTGTGGTAAGCTGGCGATGCAGATGTAGCATTGCCAGCTATCATTGGTGTGGGTGTATTGGAAGAAATTTTTGGCACATTTAGAGTGAGTAACTGTTCCACAGGAGCTACAGTTCAAAATTTTGTGGTGTGTTGAGATAAATTTATTGCATCCCTTGCAAACATTCTTAGTAATTTGTGGTTGTTTGATCATCATAATTATGGTGGGCGCCTACCACCCTCTACCGCTCCGCCGAAGTTCCCCTGACTGGTGTTAAAACGTGCTCTAGACTGGCTACTCCTTCTGCCAGCTACAGATTCCTTAATATTCGCAGCAAATTTACGGATACCACTTTTACCAAGGTGGACAATATCTGAGGTAAGAGGGCCATTTGCAGCAATATCCCATCTGCCATACTCATCAGAGAGCTGGCGACCAAAAATAGAGTTATCAATAATAAAAATGTTTCTTTGCTGATAAGACACATCGAGGATGCCCCGATTAAAGCTTTCAACTTTTCTATTTAGAGAGTTTAGTCTAGTTGGAAGTAACATTGACAAGTGGATTTTGGATTTGGGGTAGGTTTCAGTAATGTCTCTGCACTTGGATTCGAGGACATGGAGGAGGTAGGCTTCTGATCGTGGATGAGACCGGGAGTTAATACTGTTGATTCCAGTATGGATGACAATATTACGGTAAGGGCCAATCTCAATTGCATCAGGGAGAGCCTCCATGTGACCTACCAAAACACGCTTCCCAGGGACCCAACGACCAAAGGTACCTACTGAGTCACCAAATGTCATCCTGGAGGTGTTTGAATCACCCAGAATGATGGTCGAATTGATGAAGTGAGGAGAAATGTGTCTAAAGGTCAGGCTCACTCTCTCTGTGGAGACATTCTCGTCTGGGAGGATCCCGTGTTTCCAAAAGTCCTGCGCATATCTCGTTGTGACTAACAAGCTGTTGTCCTGAAGGGGGAGATCTTCTGATTGGCTGTCATCATTATTGCAGAAGGACATGGTACGGGCAGCTCCTAGTGAGATCGTAAGGATGTGAGATTCGGGATCAATCACAGGCTCATCATCTCTGTGCATTGGAATGTGGTTAGCACCAGAGCTATACTTACTAATGAGACACGAGTTAATCTTGATATTCCTATCATTCACTGGAGAAGGTATTTTAGGAACAATTGTGTCAATAAGCTTCTTCAGCACGTGCGGCATTTCTCTTGCTGGGTGCTCAGTGCCAGTGTACCTATACGAGAAGTCACCAAAGTACATTACTTCACGAGAGTTCTCACCAACACTAGTAAATTCGCTACAGTTACCACTGATGAACGCTTGGACTTCCTCCTTAAGTTCTGGTGTAAGGGCTAGAGGGTCATACATTTCATAGGGCTTGCACGGTGTCACATGTTTCTTTGTGTGTGGAGAGACAGTATTAGGTAGGGGAGGGGATGTGGGACCAGGACCATGGTTAGGCTGTGGCATCCTGTTTGGTGGAGGCCGAGGGCTGCTGCTGCTTCTGTTGCCAAGCGACAACTTCATGGATGTGACTTGTTCAGTCAGGTGTAATAGGCTGTTTTGGATGCTAGTGACAGCTTCAGCTGTCAACAGGGTCGTGCTCTCTGGGTGTGGCTGGTCAACTCTCTGGAAGGCAGACTCACGGAGGCCTTTTATCTCTTGCTGTAGCATGTTCAGTTTCTCTGTGACATCATCATTAACCAACCCCTGGTTTGAAGAGCGTTCGCTAAGACATAATGCAGTGACAACCTCCTTAGTTGAACGGATGTCAGCGTAGAGGGATTCTGGTAAGCATTTCTTAATACGGTAGATACGTCCACAAGCACTGCTTAGTTTTTTGTTAAGGGGGGGGGCCAATGGATATTTTTTTGTGAAACTTGATTTCGAGATAGCAGTTGACCAACAAACTAAGACCAGTGACCGAACTTTTGAGGGGGTCCCAGACCCCAACCGCCAAACGGTGCCCGCGGGGCAGCCACGCCCATATTTGGTCCAAATTAGGCCCAATTTAGCCAAATACTCTGAACATGCCCAAAACCCAAATTTTAGGTGCTCTACTTGTAGCTAGTGGTCTCTTGAAGTCGTATATGAAATTTCATCAAGATTGGACAAAAAATGACTGAGTTATGTGCCAAAAACCATATGCCCATATTTGGGCATACGCACCAAATTTGGTAGATTTCGTCCCATTAATTGGTCAAATATCAATATTTTTCACTGAAACTTATTTTATATGAAAGGTAAGCCTAAACTACATATTCTCTGTAAGTTATAGCTTTATATCTGTTTAAATGTGGATACTAAGGCGAAAAGACCACAAAAAATGAACTAAATTGCCCATATCTTGGTTCGCGATATTCGCGGAATTGATCTCATTAAAATTGTAACAACTCAATCAGTTTTCAAAATTTTTCCATGAAATTTTCGGAATCGACTCGAAATCGCATTTCCACCTTAGTTTGAGAACAGATTTTTGATTAAGGCCTCAAAAAAAATTTGGCGGCCAAATTCTGAATTTCTCCGGGAAAATTTTGGAATTTGGCCGCCAAATTTTTTTGGAGGCCTAAATCAAAAATCTGTTCTCAAACTAAGGTGGAAATGCGATTTCGAGTCGATTCCGAAAATTTCATGGAAAAATTTTGAAAACTGATCGAGTTGTTACAATTTTAATGAGATCAATTCCGCGAATATCGCGAACCAAGATATGGGCAATTTAGTTCATTTTTTGTGGTCTTTTCGCCTTAGTATCCACATTTAAACAGATATAAAGCTATAACTTACAGAGAATATGTAGTTTAGGCTTACCTTTCATATAAAGTAAGTTTCAGTGAAAAATATTGATATTTGACCAATTTATGGGACGAAATCTACCAAATTTGGTGCGTATGCCCAAATATGGGCATATGGTTTTTGGCTCATAACTCAGTCATTTTTTGTCCAATCTTGATGAAATTTCATATACGAGTTCAAGAGACCACTAGCTACAAGTAGAGCACCTAAAATTTGGGTTTTGGGCATGTTCAGGGTATTTGGCTAAATTGGGCCTAATTTGGACCAAATATGGGCGTGGCTGCCCCGCAGGCACCGTTTGGCGGTTAGGGTCCGGGACCCCCTCAAAAGTTCGGTCACTGGTCCTAGTTTGTTGGTCAACTGCTATCTCGAAATCAAGTTTCACAAAAAAATATCCATTGGCCCCCCCCCTTAAGGGATTGTATGTGTGGTTTCCAACTTAATTTGTCATCAATAATTACTCCAAGGAATTTAGTTTGACTAACACGCTTGATTACCTTGTTATTCATATCTACGAATTATCAAAATACCTGATGTTCGAAAAAGTCTGACAAGGTTTCGTATCAGCTGTCACAACCTCTACATTGAAAGGGGCAGATACGAAACCCCCTTTGTACCAAGAGAAGAACGTTGGTGCACCTACTGCTTTTTCAGCAAAGGGCTCAAGCCTATTGAGGACGAAAGTCACGTATTGATTGACTGTTTGCTCTACTCCTCAGTTAGGGAAAAATTCAATTTCCATCCCCAAAACATTACTGACCTAGTCGGTTTGCTCTCCAACAAAACTCTAGATCCTACCACACTCACTGCCACAGCAAGAGCAATCCATTCAATTCTCTCTGTGAACGAACAATATACAGCCTATTATAAGAGCCCAGATTTTCACTCAAATACTGGCAATTGCATAATGCTATAGGACCTTAAAATAAAATTGAACCATACAAACTCGATTTATCTATCTTTCTAAAACTAGCATTATATAACATTTCTAAATTATCCCTACACACTTGTAAATAATTAGAATTGTGTAACTTAAATTATTTCAGAATTACAACTATTGTGTACTCAATAAAGTAATTATCACTTTTGTATCCTTGTATCCTTGTATCCTTGTATCACTATTTATTGTTCAATGTTTTCATGGATAAGAAAACCTAAATATATTTGTTTGGGATAATAAGTAGATACAAGCTGCTTCACAAAGTCTATCTGGGCTTACTGGATTTGTAGACCTAGATATTTTCAGTTCTGAAATGTATAAAATATATCTGAGACTAACTTGAGTATATATTGCAGACTGCCCAACTTTTAATTCAGCCATCTTTCACGAATTATTTCTGGCGTCTGTAAAACTATATTTCAATTGCAATACTACTACACTACTACTATGTCGGAGCTAAGTCCGATCTACGCCAGAAAACCCCCTCCATATATCCCTGTCCCGCATCAGGGTTCGCAGTTCCTCTTTAGAGTTTGTCCCAACTTCCTTCAGTAACATAGACAAGTAGCTTTGTCTTGGTCGGCCTTGCTGTGCTCTACCGTGCGTAGGTTCCCATAAGACTAAATCACTGGCAAGTAGCTCAGGATGTCGGATGCAGTGTCCCGCCATTTTTAATCTCCTGCTTCGTAACTTGTTTGACAGCCTTGGGAGGCTACCATACAAAGTTATATTGCTGACCTTGTCCTTCCATGAGATACCCAGCACCATACGCAACATCTTTGTGTATGTCCCGTCCAAACTTTTCTCTTGAGCCTTTGTCAGTGTCCAGGTTTCTGATCCGTAGAGCAGTACTGATTCACAAGCCGCTATGAACAATCTAATCTTTAGGCTCTTTGAGAGTTTGGATTTCCAGATATCCTTCAGTCTATGTAGGGCACCCCACGCTTTTCCCTTTCTAACCCTTATCTCCCTATCTGTGCTCTCAATCCAGGAGCCTAAGTAGATGAAATCATCTACATTTTCTATGGCTTCCCCGGATCGACTTTGTAGGTCGCTAGATCGATCCTCCATATTCAGTGTCATGACCTTGGTCTTGCCTTCGTTTATGTGTAGTCCCACGCTTGCTGCCGCCGATTCTACTCTGAGCAGGAACTCGTTAGCCTTGTCCATGTCCTCAGATATAAGTGCTATATCATCTGCAAAGTCCACATCGGTGATGATCTTGGGCCCCACTCTTCTGCTTTTTCTACGTTCGAGGGTGAGTCCAAGTCGCTCCGCATCATCGCCTATGGCTTGCCTCATACAGTAGTCGATGACTATTGCAAAGAGGTAAGGTGCTAAGGTATCACCCTGTAACACACCTGCAAGTATCTCGAACAATTCAGTTTCTCCGTCTGGAGTTAGGACTTTGGCCATTGTCTTCTCGTACATGAGCCGTATAAGCTGCACGATTTTGACTGGAATGCCGTAAGCTTCTAGAATCTTTAGCATTTTCCCACGATGTACACTGTCGAAAGCCTTCTTAAAGTCTATAAATGTCAGAACAGCTGGCAGTTTCCGACTCTTGACACCCTCTATAAGACGTCTCAGTACCAATATCTGTTGAGTTGTTGACCTTCCTGGTCTGAATCCATTCTGGTTTCTACGCAGAATTGTCTCGATTTCTGGCTTCAACCGGTTTAGAACCATCTTGTTTAGAGACTTGGCAACTAGGGATGACAAGCTTATTCCCCGATAGTTCATTGGTTCGCTAAGGTCGCCCTTCTTTGGAATTGGTATGATGTTGGCAGTTGACCATTGGTCTGGTTTCTCACCTTTCAATAGAGCATTGTTACAGAAGTCTAAGACAATTTGATCAAGGTCGCATCGTTTTAAGACTTCTGGGGCTATGTTGTCGTCACCCCATGCTTTCCCTTCCTTTATGCTGGACTTTGCTTTCCTGTACTCATCCAACGTAAACGGTTCTGTTCCGATATTCAGAGGTGGGTGGACTGGATCAATATCCTCTTCCGCGTTCTCTACCGTCGGTGGTGAGCCGAGAAGAGTAGCAAAATAGTCCTTCCATTTCTGAACCCTTTCCGTTGGTGAGTTTCCCTTGATTTTGCCAGTATATGATGGAGCTTTACCTGTGATCTTGTTGATCATGGTCCAGCTTTTAGCATGTCTGCCCTGCCAACTTGCTTCCTCCAGTTCCCGGACCTGCCCCTCCAGCAGGTGCTCTTTGGCTGCTTGATAAGCATCGCCTAGCTTCTGTTTGCCCTCTTGAACAGCTATTCGGTTGTCTTCTGTAGCATCTGAGTGGTATTTTATGCTACATTCCCTCAGCTTCAGCCTGGCAATCTCAACACTTGGAGTCGCTGAGATTTTACATCTTTTCTTTTTCTCCTTTTCAGGTAGTAAAAGTCGAGAAGTTGTCCTATTCGCATCAATAAAGCATTGGTACCTTTCTGTTGCCGTCTGATCATCCTTTTCAAGTATGGAAAAGCGGTTTTTAACTTCCACTGTGTACCTCTCTTGTAGAGCGATATCAGTTTTAAGTTTAGACCAGTCCAGAACCGGAGCCCTCTTCTCCGTCTTGCTTATCCGTAGACTAAGCTTTACCCTTGCTACGACTACTCTGTGATCCGAGCCAATACTGTGGAAACTACCATATGCTTCGGAGTTCTTGACGGAGTTCCGCCATTTCTTCCGGCAAATGATGAAGTCGATTTGAGATTTACTTTGACTCATATCTGAGAGATATGTCCAGAGTTTACCTCTTCGCTTCTGAAATCTGGTGTTTGCAATCCATGTTATAAAGATAAATTGTAACATTTATTACTTGCTTTTGCATCATGACAAGGACATCAAGTGAACATCATATTAGGACATAACAACACCAAACTTGGGGGTCACAACGTGATACAAGTAATCATTACTGGGCGGCGCTCAGCCTGTCATTCCGCCGCAGCTTCAATCGTGTTTATAAACACTATTAGCCTGTTGTAGGTTTATAACCTACCAAGACGCGCCGAGTTGGACTGTTCAGTTAAGTTGGATAAACATTTTTTTAAGGGGAATCAAAAAATGCGTCATAATTCAGTAAAAGAACAATTTCATGTCAAGCATCAAAACAATCCGATGTTTTTTGACAAACTTTTTGGTCTAAACATTCACATAGTCATGTGTCTACGCGGTCGCGCGCTACTGCAAGCAAAAGGGCTTTGGTTAAAGCAAGTCTAAACAAGCCTGAAAAGTAAAATAGGTCCACCGCGCACGAGTGCACAGCGGGCCGTATCGTGTATTGCGGGCCGTATCGTGTATTGGTATTGTAGCTTTGTCATTCATTGTGCATTGTCATACGTTGTATGACCCGCCGGGCGCTGCGCACGAGTGCGCGCGCGGCCGCTATATCGTAGAAACTATACAGCTTAGTGAAACGACAATGGGGGTCACGCCGTGATACAATTGTAGCCACAGTAAATAAAATTTTGACAATTAGGATCACGACGTGATACAAGCGATGATTTGCTTTATTTTGCACTAAGCACAAAGTAAACGCGTGAGTCGACCAAAATTGAACAGGAAACATTTAAAATTACTTTAAGTCACTTCGAAAAAAGGTACTTACGCTTTTATATTTATGTTTTTACAAAAAATAAAACAATTATAGCATTGTTGAGTTTGATTATTCTTTTTTAAATCTATGCCAAAAAATTTGTATAAGTGCATATATTGATTTAAAATACAATATTGCAAAAGATTTTCAATTAATAATTGGAGGACTTCGCCGCTTCGATGTTCGACGCGCCGCGCAAACTAGCATTCTTGCTTCGCAAACTAGCATTCTTGCTTCGTCTCTTGACATCGTCAATCAAATTAATAAAATAATGGTTGAAAAAAGTTATAATTACAATGCTCGCTATTTAAAGATCGGAGTGTGCTTTCGCGAAAAATATAAACTGCGCAAAATGCAAAAATTTGTTCATGTCCCGACTTTGTTCGCTTATTACACGTATCGTTAATTTAAAATGAACAGATTAGTATTAATACTGCATATTACATTGCATATTAGATAAAATTTAAATCCTGCAATAACAAATAAATATAGTAACTAGTATGTAGTCAAATGTCGAACCCCACACGCGCATAGCAGTTGAAAGACTCAGTAGCGCGACGAACAAAGTTAATTTTCCTGCAGTTCTCTCTACCCGGTTCTTTAGTTTCAAATTTCGCACACCGGACAAGTTATATAAAAAATTTAAATCATTAAAACACGAAATACAATAGTTTTCTTGAATCGACGGGGGAAGCTTGCTGTGGTCCCATTTAAATTCACTATGTTTGCTTTAATCAACTTTTTAAAATTTTGTTTTCCTTAATGAATTCAGAATTCACCACAACAGACAAGTGTGTCAAAATGATGACAATCCTTGTTATCCTGAGTGTCATGTGGCAGAGTCTCAATTTCAAAAGCCCAAAGTTTTGACCAATCTCCTGAACCGCAATTGTCGCAATTTCAAATTTTTTGAAAAAAGTACTGTAGGTTGTTACCGTATTACGTTGCTATGGAATTGTATTTTTGCACCACTTTTGCATCTGATTTGAAAATAATTCCCCTAATTACTGTCACCCATTGGTTTAAATCACGGAATCCTGTTGCACCTTTACTCATGTGACCTTCTCTTGCAGTCCTGAAATCGCTGCTTGAAGTCTGTTAAATGTCTCCATGAGTTACTTTTTTGACGGAGGCGTCTATTAATTACATCCAGCCAACCATGTAATTAATTCATTTACTTTAATCTACGACCGAGAACAAAGGAACCAGCACACAATATTTGTCGAAAAGTTGTAGTGTGGTGAATTTACAGATGTAGACATTTCATGCGGTTGTATTTTTTAATTGAGATTTTACTAGGATTTTTCAAATTGTTACCATTTTATAAAATTTATTAATTAAATGGTCGGACATTGAGGGTAGAACTAGATATTTGTTTTAGGGCTCAGATGAAAATATAGAGATATATACTGCTATCAGCCTTTAGTCTTGATAGCAACGTACCATTTCCGTTACCCATACACTGTGCTCTGCCAGTTGCAACATACTATTCGTTTTGATTTATAATTTTTCATGTCATTTCGTCTGTTGTCATTAAACAACAGTAACTTAAATAATCAAATTTTAATCATGCTGAAATTTCAAATTATTGAACTCTATCTGCACCTTGCAAGGCTCGTTCTGTGTGTGGCTTGTATTTAAATTAATATGCAAACATGACTGATAAATTTGATAAAAAGTATTCAGGAAAAGTTAAGTAACCTAAAATATTTCAAGTTCATCAGACATGGCCCGAAACCCTGAAGTCGTAATCAGCCACCGAAATGGTCAAATAAATCAACTTTTGTTCTTAACTGTGAACATTTCACATCTTTCATCATTAAGAACAAACAAATTTGACATTATCGACTTAAGGGGGGGGGGGGGGGGGGGGGGGGGGCCAATGGGTATTTTTTTGTGAAACTTGATTTCGAGATAGCAGTTGACCAACAAACTAGGACCAGTGACCGAACTTTTGAGGGGGTCCCGGACCCCAACCGCCAAACGGTGCGCGCAGGGCAGCCACGCCCATATTTGGTCCAAATTAGGCCCAATTTAGCCAAATACCCTGTACATGCCCCAAACCCAGGTTTATGGTGCTCTACTTGTAGCTAGTGGTCTCCTGAACTCGTATATGAAATTTCATCAAGATTGGACAAAAAATGACTGAGTTATGAGCCAAAAACCATATGCCCATATTTGGGCATACGCACCAAATTTGGTAGATTTCGTCCCATAAATTGGTCAAATATCAATATTTTTGAATGAAACTTACTTTATATGAAAGGTAAGCCTAAACTACATATTCTCTGTAATTTATAGCTTTATATCTGTTTAAATGTGGATACTAAGGCGAAAAAACCACAAAAAATGAACTAAATTGCCCATATCTCGGTTCGCGATATTCGCGGAATTGATCTCACCAAAATTGTAACAACTCAATCAGTTTTCAAAATTTTTGCATGAAATTTTTGGAATCGACTCGAAATCGCATTTCGACCTTATTTTAAGAACGGATTTTTGATTTAGGCCTCAAAAAAAATTTGGCGGCCAAATTCCAAAATTATATTACAGAAATTCAGAATTTGGCCGTCAAATTTTTTTTGAGGCCTAAATCAAAAATCCGTTCTTAAAATAAGGTCGAAATGCGATTTCGAGTCGATTTCAAAAATTTCATGCAAAAATTTTGAAAACTGATTGAGTTGTTACAATTTTGGTGAGATCAATTCCGCGAATATCGCGAACCGAGATATGGGCAATTTAGTTCATTTTTTGTGGTTTTTTCGCCTTAGTATCCACATTTAAACAGATATAAAGCTATAACTTACAGAGAATATGTAGTTTAGGCTTACCTTTCATATAAAGTAAGTCTCATCCAAAAATATTGATATTTGACCAATTTATGGGACGAAATCTACCAAATTTGGTGCGTATGCCCAAATATGGGCATATGGTTTTTGGCTCATAACTCAGTCATTTTTTGTCCAATCTTGATGAAATTTCATATACGAGTTCAGGAGACCACTAGCTACAAGTAGAGCACCATAAACGTTTTGGGCATGTTCAGGGTATTTGGCTAAATTGGGCCTAATTTGGACCAAATATGGGCGTGGCTGCCCTGCGCGCACCGTTTGGCGGTTGGGGTCCGGGACCCCCTCAAAAGTTCGGTCACTGGTCCTAGTTTGTTGGTCAACTACTATCTCGAAATCAAGTTTCACAAAAAAATACCCATTGACCCCCCCCCCCTTAAAAGACTCATTTACATAAATTAGAAATCAAATTAATGAATGATAACTGTTCAGCTCACGTGTCAGGTTAAAGTACATAATTGCTTATCACTTTTTCTGCTCGTAAAGTTTCAATTAGTCTTAATTAGGGGCTTTTGAAAAGTTAATTGTAAAGCTTGATTTCAACATTTTGAAATTTTCTGAATTCAATTATTTAAGTTTTAACTTGGATCGAATACTTTGTCAATTTTAAGACTTCACTGGCCCAGTACAGCAGATATTCAATGGTCCACCACAGCAGTTCTTTAATGGTCCACCACAAGATTTCCCAGTTCATTACACTGCCATGAATGGTTTAATACTGTCATGTTTAATATCCTGTTGTACATGTTCTTGTGGAAAATTCCAATTCCTCTTGAACCTATTGTAAATCGCCTGTTAATTTCACACTATTGGGGTGCCATCTAGTTATTCCAAAAAATCTAGTTATAACCCTGGATGTCAGTAAAGTAGCTATCAAATAAAAATGTTTTTCTAAATTTCATTTAAGTACCTCCCCTCTACATGATTTGATTTCATTGTTGTCTACATTTCATGAAATCGCAAATGCTTCATGCATGCACTTATTTAATGTTCGCTTTTCATTGTAGATGTTGAGGCGCGGAGTGACCAAGTCCAATAAAATCCTCCAAACATGCTGTAGGTACATGGCCACCCGCTCTGAAACAGACAGTTTTGGCCCAATTGATGTGCCAGCTGAGAAATATTATGGAGCTCAAACAGCCCGATCTGCAATGAACTTCAAAATAGGAGGCCCAACTGAACGAATGCCGGTAAGATAATAGAAACCTCTGAAAAGGAACATGAGTGATAAGCAGACCAAAGTAATGATGTGAATGCTAGAGTTGGATTACAGATATAAAATAACTTTAGATATCATAACGCGACGTCTGTTCAGGTGCCATTGATAAGAGCGTTTGGACAACTGAAGCAAGCATGTGCTATTGTCAACATGAAGTATGGACTCGACAAGACAGTTGGAGACACTATAGTCAAGGCTACTGATGAGGTAATGGAGTTCAAGGAAAGATTATTGTTGTCTTATGTTTTGATGAAACTGCAGACATAATGAGATAAGTAAAGGTAGAAAAAAATCTACACCCCACAGGTCAAAATAAACACAAATAACTTTTAAAGTTGTAAGGTGATCCAAAGTTGTAGGGTGATCTGACCCACCTCTTCCCTGCAGCTGATAAAAGGAGATCTGGATGACCACTTTCCTCTTGTTATCTGGCAGACAGGTTCTGGTACTCAGAGCAACATGAACGTCAACGAGGTCATCTCTAACCGATCAATCGAGATGTTGGGAGGTGAGATTGGTAGCAAGACACCAGTGCATCCTAATGATCATGTCAACAAAGGACAGAGTTCCAATGATACCTTCCCCACTGCAATGCACATCGCCGTAGCTCAGGTATCTTTCTTATTTAAGTTCTACTACCTTCAACTTGCTACTTATAAATTAACACGTTAATTTTAAATGTGGGCAGATTTAAAGATGAGGAATTTGGTGCCCTCAGCCCAATCTAGCCATTTATTTACTGTGCTAATTATTATATGTAAGTGTCTGGTAGCCGCACAAAATTACTTTAATATCAAGTCAACAATTGGCATCTCGGCCATAAACGACATAAACGATCAGTTGAAAATGTGAATCAAAAAGCAAATTGATTACAATGAACATATTTGGTTGATTTTTATGACACAAATTTAACCTACATTCAGATTTTGATTTTACTAACCCCCTCTTTGAAGGATGAGATTATTTGTTAGAAATCATGGCACAATCCCTGATCGCTTGCTCAGTCTTCTCCGCCGGGAGAAAGTCCAAGAGATCACCTCTTTTGCACAACATGCGCAGCACGGCGCTGGGTCCTGCGCTAACAAGCAGTACCCTCAAGCTACGTTAAAGACAGTGTTCAGTGGGAACATCCCCTCCAGTGGTACGAGCAGACAACAGACTGGTTTGTTAGGTTACCCCCTCTTCTCCTCACACCAGGGCTTCTTTCATTGTTGGTTCCTTTGTGAGGCCCATTGTAATGAGTTGGTTAAACAAATCTTAACAGAGCCCCCAGGAATCAAAACTCTCAAACTGTTTGACGATCTTTCTAATGCAATCTGTGTTTACGCTGACTGTATCAAGTTTATCGCTGAAAATGCACCTAATGATAAAATTGCACGTGCAGCAATTGTTTGTAACAGTAACGCGCATGAGTTTGTTGAGAAATTAAACACAAATGTGGATCTCTACCGGGCAATAAAAGCAGTTGCAGACAGCTCTGATACATTTTCTTCATTAAACTCTGAAGATGTCACAGCTCTTATGTCATTTCTTCATGACATGGACCTCTCAGGAATCCACCTCCCTGACCAAATACGGCACAGTTACGTCCAGCATATGTCAGAAATCGCAACAGCGGGAAACAACTTCCTGCAACTAGGTCAGCAGCCTGTGTTGATTAAATTTGATGACGCTCCGAGAGCATTGCACAACTACAAGTCAATAATGAAAGAGAATCATAACAAGAAAGTAGAATTTATAGAGTTGCATGGTCCAGGTTCTGACCATGTTATGACAGATGTTAGAGAGTTTGCATTCAGGAACTACCACGCCTTCGATCAGGACAAAGAGAATGAACTAATGAATTTATTGGGAGCACGACACAAGATGGCACGCAGCGTAGGATTCAAGAGTTTTAGTGAGCGTGAGTTGAGAAACACAATGGCAGGTTCTCCTGAAAACGTGTCCAACTTTCTGAACAATCTTCACAGCGAGCTTAAACCTCTGGTTGACCTTGAGTTTGAGCACATCAAGTTCGCAAAAGCAGAAGAGAACAGACATGATTTCGGTGAGCCTAAGATATACCCTGGAGATGGTCAGTATTATTCTCGGGTTCTTAATGAGCGATGTTTGGTTGACAACCATAAGCAAGATATGTTCCTAGACATGCTCGAGTTTGAGAATGTTATAGAAGGTTTGAATGTTTTCTGTGAAGATGTGCTGAAAATATCCCTTGTTACGGAGATACCAATGCAAGGAGAGCTAATAAACACTAACGTTGTAAAAGTTGGTGTATTTGATGATAAGGAAGGACTGATAGGCTACATTTACCTAGATCTGTTTGAAAGAGACAACAAAACACCCCGCACTTGTTTACATACCATAACATGTGGCACTAAGACTCAGCTTCCTGTTGTTGTTCTACAGTGCAGTTTCTTAATGAATCCTAGGAAGCAGGAAATGGGCCAATACCACTACCATAGGATCAATCTAGACCAGGTGCAGACTCTGTTTCACGAGTTTGGACATGCTTTGCATGCCATTCTTGGGAGGACCACATACCAAGCTACCAGTGGCACCAGGGGTCCCACTGATTTCTCTGAAATTCCTAGCATGCTTTTCGAAAACTTTATATCCCATCCTGAGATCTACTACGCAGTGGTCAACCCCTTTGCCATCTACAGCGACTCAGATTTTAAGTTAGGCAGGAAGAACCTATTTAACACTCCTTACAGCGCCCTGAAAACTGAGACCAGTATACTTTACTCTCTGTTAGACCAGGAGCTACACTCAGATACCCTCCCCACCTCAACTAACGAGATAGCAAACAAACTGTTCAGTAAATACTCGCACTTATCAACGTTAGAGGGCACTGCGTGGCATCACCGCTTTGCTCATCTCTACTTCTACGGGGCTAGATATTACAGTTATCTTTGGTCACAGTCCATTGCTAATCTTATATTCTACAATTTGTTCCATGATGATCCGTTCAATGAGAAAGCTGGGGAAAAGTTGAAGGAGTTTTTGAGGCGTGGGTCTGGTACTGATTTTAAATCTTCGTTAGATGAACTGGTTGGGTATGAGTTTGGTCAGGATGATATGATAGCAGCTATTGTTGAGCCGCTCAAAGTCTTCAATAATTCTTATCTTGATAAGCAGGATATTTCTAAAAAGTGGTGGTAGTTTGTGTTACGGCTTTTTGGAGTAATTTTAAACTCTCCCAATTTTCGGAGTTTCGAAAATGTACTGTAGAATTTGAAGTGGAATGTAAATATTTGTAATTTTTTGCTTTTCTTATGTTCAATTTTTAAAGATTTAGGTTTAAGTATTTATAAACAACAATACAGCTATCTAAATCAAGTGGGATGCAACGACTATGAAGAAAAAATATGACCAATGAGTAATAGTTAAAATTAGTCGTTGCATCCCCCTCCCTTTGATTTAAACCTCTCATTACAATTTACTGCTACAATTGCTAGTAGGTTTAAGAAGCATTTGGTGGCTCTTACCGACCAAGCCATTCCCATCAATAATTTCAATATATTTAACAATTTGATAATTCGCTAACTAACCAGCTTTTCTTCTATAGCAAGCATGGCTAGAGGTCCCAAGAAGCATTTGAAGCGTCTGAACGCACCCAAGAAATGGATGTTGGACAAGCTTTCCGGAAAGTTCGCACCTCGACCCAGCGCAGGACCCCATAAACTGAGGGAGTCAATGCCTCTGATCGTGATCATCAGGAACAAGCTGAAGTACGCTCTTACCTACAGCGAGACCAAGAAAGTCACCATGTCTCGTGCCATCAAAGTTGATAACAGAGTCCGAACTGACATTGGCTTCCCTGTTGGATTCCAAGATGTTATCACCATCGACAAGACTGGCGAGCACTTCAGAATGCTGTTTGACGTAAAGGGACGTTTCCTGATTCACAGAATAAAGAAAGAAGAGGCTGCTTACAAGCTCTGCGTTGTAAAGAAACTGTCAACTGCTGCTAAGGGAATCCCAGTACTCATCACCCACGACGGACGTACTATCAGGTACCCAGACCCAGACTGCAAGGTTCACGACACCATCAAGTTGGACATTGAATCTGGTAAGATCCTCGACCACATCAAATTCGAGCCCGGCAACCTTGCCTACATCACTGGAGGTCAGAATTGTGGACGTATCGGAATTATCACCCACAAGGAGAAACATCCTGGAAGTTTCGACATTGTGCACGTCAAGGACTCAGTAGGTCACAGTTTCGCTACTCGACTCAGTAACGTGTTCCCCATCGGCAAAGGCAAACAAGCCTGGATCTCACTACCAAGAGGCAAGGGAGTCAGACTGAGTATCGCAGAAGAGAGGGACAGAAAACTTGCAGCTAAGGCCAAGGAAATGTAAATTATTGATATTTTTTAATTTATCTTAACCGGGTTGTTTCATTGTCTCCTCGATTTTACATATAACGAATGATAAAACCCACTAGAAAGTGGCAAATTCCAACAAAATCTCAACTTTGCGTACGGCGCAAAGACTAGATTACGTTTCAACTCAGAGACAGGTCGCATTACGCCAAAAAATTTTGCGGCGCGCACGTACTCAATTCGGCTATCAGACACCAATCTATATAACTGAGAAACACGGCTGACCTAACCGTGTTTCAGGAGTGTCACACTTGCCTCCTACCTGGATTGAAAGTTCTGCACAAGGCACTGAAGGAGAAAGCTGATGAATTCGCTGATATTATCAAGATCGGACGAACGCATACCCAGGTACAGTCAATATTCGTAACGACTTAAATCCCGCCGAAAACTGCGCAAGTGATATATTTGCTGAACGATCTGACTAAGTGATATTAGAGCGTCTAAAATATACTTTCGGCACTCCAGTCAAGCTTCTGAACAAGTCCTTCCCAGGACGCCACTCCCCTTACGCTGGGACAAGAGTTCAGTGGATATGTAACTCAGATGGAGTATGCTATTGATCGTGTCAATGATGCTTTACCAAGAGTCTACCAACTCGCTATTGGTTTGTTTCTTCACTGTCTGCGAAGCTTACTTTTGTAATTTAAACACAGTTGTACACGTAAAAAGGTTGAAAACCTTAATTTTAAATGATCCTCACAATTTATGACAAGGATGAGAGTAAACAGAGCTGGTCTAAAACAGAGTAATTAAACCACACAAAAGCTTATCCTAATCCTCTCATAGGCGGCACAGCTGTGGGTACTGGTTTGAACACTTACAAGGGGTATTCTGAGGACGTAGCGGCTGTTCTGTCTGAGAAGACTAAACTCCCATTCGTGTCAGCCCCCAACAAGTTTGAAGCTCTTGCTGCTCACGATGCCATGGTAAATTTAACTCGTTAATTTCCTATTACCTTAATTCCCAAAAATTTGGGCGACAAAAAACTTGAGCGGGCCTCTCGCCCAAATTTTTTGCAGACCAAATTAATTGCATAAATCTTTTCCGTCTGCTAAATTTTTTGTTAACCAAACTTTTGGCATTTAGCCTGTGGCCCTGAAATCTATAGAAAGATGGCTTTTTCTTCATATCCAAGTGAAATGATATTTGAAATTTTAGTTTTCTAATCTGTCATTCATGGCTTGACCAAGTAAAAAGGCTTATATTTTAAATGAATAGAAATAACTGGATTTGGAATAGCTAACAGCTACTAATAAAATAAATGGCTAGAGTTACGGAGAGCTAGAGATTTAAACAAGATCTGCAAATGGATTATCATCCACCGTAAAGTCTGATCTACAAGTATCAGTTATACCCGACTTCTCAAAGCCTTTCCTTATGTCATCTGGCCTCCCTTTTAAATATACAAAAGTTCGTTGATCCAACGAGCGTGTACTTCACGGATCACTGTCAAGCGGGTATCAATTTTCACATTGTTTTATGAAACTCCTCCATTGAGCTGACACACTATGTTTTTCGCGTACCAATCTTCGTACTTATTGCGCATGAATTTCTTAGCCAGTCCATTGATAGATATGTCCAGGGGCTGTAGCTGGAACTTTCTGTAGGATGCAGTTGTTGGTTGTCATCAGATCTTTTAGTGTCTGTGTGTGTTGGGCCCGAAACACATCTGATATCAGTAGCGCTTTCTGCTCAGGGTTATAATAAGGAATAATAATGAACTAAGGCAAATATCTAACTGAAATTTTAGTGGAAAATCTTTCATTTTTCGAAGAATTTGTGCCCAAATTTTCGGTCGCCCAAATGAGTTCAAATTTTCTGCCCAAATTTTTCGGGCTCAAATAAATTGTGTTCAATATAATGGCACACAAATTTTTGGGAACTAAGGTATTTCGATTCCTCGCAGAGCCATTAATTGGGATTATTTTTCTCTTAACCTAGGATGAGATAAATAAGACAGCCTCTGTGAGTTAACTATTGTTAACACCCCTGTTTTACAGGTGGAACTATCTGGCGCACTGAACACGATATCATGTAGTATAATGAAGATAGCTAACGATATCAGATTCCTGGGGTCAGGACCTCGTTGTGGTCTGGGAGAATTGTCTCTGCCTGAGAACGAGCCTGGTAGCAGCATTATGCCCGGCAAGATTAATCCCACACAGTGCGAGGCTATTACCATGGTCGCGGCTCAGGTGAGGATACTGGTTAACCAGGGTTTTAAGAAAGTTTAAATATTTTGGGTCATGCATTTTTATTGAGATCATATTTCGCGTCTTAAAATGGCTTTCAGTAGCTTGTGGCAGGTTAATACTATCTCTAAGTTACAAATATTTTGCAGGTTATGGGTAACCACGTGGCAGTAACAGTAGGCGGAAGTAACGGACACTTCGAACTCAACGTCTTTAAACCCATGATGGTAGCTAACGTTCTCCGCTCAACTCGTCTCCTAGGTACGTGTGTTCACTGTTCACTTTTTTTCTGTGGAATCGCAACAAAGCCTTGTTTTTACTGACGTCTGCAGTAATCTCAGTAGCAAATTTCAACTGACAACACTCTAGTAGAGGGAGTGTAGTTAAAATAATGTTTGTTGATTTATTGAATCTCAAAAGACTGCTCTCAGGGGTAGTTGTTTTCATAATATAATTAATATTTAATTAAAATAAATTATGTTTTCAGGTGACTCGTGTGTAAGTTTCTCTAAGAACTGTGTGGAAGGTATTGTGGCTAACAGAGATACGATAGATAGACTTCTTAACGAGTCTCTTATGCTGGTGACCGCTCTCAACCCTCACATTGGTAATTTCACTTTCTCTTTCTCTTTTACATCTCCTTATCTTTTCACTTCATATAAACTGTAGACATGTCAGTTGTCACACCCATATTATTTGATAACAGGAAACTCATTGTCATTACTTGATTATGTATTTCACTCAGGTTACGATAACGCCACTAAGATTGCCAAGAAAGCTCACAAAGACGGCACAACCCTGCTCCAGTCAGCTCTTGCTCTGGAACTGCTCACTGAGGAACAGTTCAAGGAGTGGGTCAGACCCGAAATTATGCTCGGACCTAAATAGATATTGGAAGATAAGATACGAAGTAGGCTAAATGTGGGAGAAACAGATCGAGTCTGAGGAGGTTTTGATACAGATAAAGGAAGTGCGATGGCGGGACTTGTGTGAGAGAAAAATTGGTTGTGTCATTTCTCAACAGAGATCTAAATTTAGTAACAAAGCCCTCGAGATAGAATCAGACGTTCGTCATCATGAAGTTTCTTGGAATGATTTTTTACATCGTAATGGTCGGGTCAGGTTAAAAATTGCATATTTTATCTCAGTACATATTCTTGACACATATTATGATACATTTTTCTAGCGCTCCGCTAGTTTGGTTTTAAGCCCTTCCTTTCGTCGTTATAAATTATTGAATGAGAATTAGTTTTGTAAATTTGTTTTGTAAATAATTGAGACGTCATGGAAAACCAGAAAATGTAATTTTGTTTCAACGCAGATTTCATAATAATTTACCTTTTCCTCACCACGTACTTTACTACATACCATTGAACAAGGCTTCATTCTAAATACCAAAACACAGTTCCGGTATCGTAGAAGTGCGTTACCTTGCATGTGTTTGTTACCATGGTAATTTGATGTATTATGCTGTTTAATGAAATTTTACTGCATGTCCTAATTTTCTCGACATAATACACATCGTGTTTTGGGAAGCAGCATTGTGTTTTAACAGTTATCATATTTGCCTTGGGTTGGCTTGAAAAACATTTTGGGTGTTAATTTAGTTAATCAGTGTGGCTAGCCCCGTTTAATTTCAATTGTGACCTTGTTCGGTACGTGTGTTTTGTATATTGTGAGACGTTTCACCCATTTTTCTGTAGTGAAATGTTTGCGGACTTGTCACTCTCTTGTTCAGTGGGTTGTGAATCTTCCAGACTGCTTCACAAACATTTCACTCTAACAGTGGGTTGTGAATCTTCCAGGCTGCTATACAAACATTTCACTCTGACAGTGGGTTGTGAATCTTCCAGGCTGCTACACAAATATTTCACTCTGACAGTGGGTTGTGAATCTTCCAGGCTGCTTCACAAACATTTCACTCTGACAATGGGTTGTAAATCTTCCAGACCGCTTCACAAATCGTTTAGTAATTACTGTGGTATGCTGACTGCGTCTCTAATTAAAACGGGGCATTCCAAACCAGTTTCCTTTGTTTATTCTGTTGTTGTCTTGTATAATACCTATTACGTTAATGTTCGTCACAGTTGTTAGTCCAGCTCTAATGCTGACGTAGGAAGGGTTGGTTTGGGTACGTAACAGATTATACAACAAAGATAGTGTGTTGTTTTATTGTGAGTCTTATTATCCATGCTCATGTTATTGTTCATTCTGTTCAGTACTAACTCAGATACTTTAAATCAAGTTTTAGTTCTAATTGCTTAGTTTAGAGGTGGTATCTAGCTCAGATAAGGACGCTATCAATCCAATTTTAAATCGTTCCTCTATAGTAAATTATGACTCCTCACAGTCTTGACAAAGGTTCAAACCTCTGCAGTGTTAGTCCTAAGTTAGAGGGGGTAGAACTGAGTGTTGGTACCAACCTGAACTTCACACGAAGTAGTCAACTAACTACCCCACAGTTCTTTAGAAATGAAGGTGCTATAACCCCTGTTCAGTGTTCTGCTTATATTGCATTTCACAGAAATAGAATAGGAAGTGTTCAAGGGAACATGTTAACCTGCTAACCTGCTAAGTGCTAACCTGTTAACCTGTTAACCTGCTACCACCTCGTACCTTGTACTTAGTGTTTATCTGCTGAAGTTGCAACTGTCGAATAGTTGGGTTCCCTTAAAGGAATATCTGTGCCTAGTAAAACAACAGTTGCAACCTCCAGTTAGGCGCTGTAATTGACGCTAAAAGGTTAGCTCCCTTGTCCTGAGCAACCCTTTACAGGGTTGCACCCCTTCACACTAAAGAAGCATTTGCCAGGAAACCCTATACCATCCCCCCACAAAACCCCACCCCACAATACCTTGTTTTTGTGGGAGGAGGAGCAGATGTTCTGGTATTGTCAACCCTGATGTCTAATTTAAGTAACATGTCTCTCTGCCATTTATAATGCTCTTCTATCAGTAACTGTCTAGTGCCCGCTGCAAATTACCTCCAACTCGTGTGCCAGCCTCGGAACACCTTCTCCTGAACATTCTCCTGACACTAAGTACTATTACTACCTCACCATTACTACCTCACTCCCCAGCTCTTGTTATTGTGGGAGGATTGGTTCTTCACCGTCAGTTATTATCGGTACTTGTACTCTGCATATCTTCAGCGGTACTGTTGTGTATCTGTCACTTTAAGACTCTTTTTATATGGTTACCTTTTTACGGCTTAGTTAACACAGTGTACAGGGTGTTTCAAGAGTGTTGCAGGGATTTACTTTTGGAGTAACCTTGCATTTATTTGTGATTTGTATCTGGTATCGGGTTATCTTTCTGTTAAAGGTTTTGGTAGTTCTAAGGTTTAATGGCAGACTTAATTCAGAATTCAGAATTATAGCTACCAAAAAAACCAATGTTCAGAGCAAATTCATAACTACTAGGTCTACTACCCACGTCCCACAACTAGGAGCTATTAAAAAAGTTTGAAATTAGAGTG